ATAACGCCCCCCACGGCTGAAAGGGCGAGTATGTTTGGTGTGACGGGGATTCGAACCCGCGACCCGCAGATTGCGAGTCAAGCTCCATAACCAACTAGCCATGCCAGGCCCACAAGTTTTTGATAAGGATGCCAAAAAAAAAGCTCTATGTTGGGCAAGGATATATTTGAGGGGTGGAGCAGCTATTCCCATCCTCCCAGGGGGTTATCCATGAAGCTCACTTGGGACAACTTAGAACTTCTGACATGTTGCAGTATATAAGAGATGAAATCTATTTGTCAGCCTTACATTTCAAAATTCTTATTTTTCACGGGAATATCAAATTATTAAAGTTAGGTGTCACTTTATACTTTTAACCTAAATTCCCACCATGATTGGATTGTCAGCTTTAAATAAATTACTTCCAGGTTAAACAATAAATTTCCTGAACATAGCCTCACATTCAAATGCAGCTATATTGTTCCAAATTCTTACCGTTTGTATTTTAAAAATTAATACAACTTTAATATTTTATATTTATATGCACAATCTTATTTAGTTTCGTACTTTAATTTTATGACTTAAAATTCTGTATTTGAAAACACTGTGATAATAAATCAGCTTGAAAAGTAATCATATCGCATTGTCGTTTTTTTTTCACTTAATCTAAATAGGAGTGTGATTTGGCGGTTTATTATAATAATCATGAAACAAAAAATCTGTATAATAACGGTGTAAGTAAATAATATAATTTTTCAATTTCTCTCTTTGTTAACTGCTTGATGGATATCTTGGTTCATGTATATAGCATTTGTACATTCACGTATTGTCGATGCAAAGTCTTGAACCTTAGCTTATTAAACTACAGATGAACTCAATTCAAAGGAATTGGAAAACTCACGTGAACTGTTTGTACTAGAGGCGGAAGGTCAAGTTAGTAAGTCTAGAACAACTGTTCATGCTACACGTTTAGACTTACTATAAAATGTTTGTGCAACAATTGTACTTTTGAGTTCGTAACAGTCTAATCAGTACTGTCTATGAAACCATTGGGCCTCTAATTTTTTAAACTTAACAAGAATTCATAAGATTAATTAGTAGTGTTCATTCAGCCACTGGGTCTTTAAATTTGTTAACCCTAACAAGAATTCATAAGTTTAATTAGTTGTGTTCATTCAGCCACTGGGTCTTTAAATTTGTTAACCCTAACAAGAATTCATAAGTTTAATTAGTTGTGTTCATTCAGCCACTGGTTCTTTAAATTTGTTACCCTCGCAGAGAAGGGTAGAATATTTGAAATGGAAAATTGAGATAAAATATCTATGCAAACGCTAAAACACGGGTTCTTAAACTATTCATTGTTGTTTTTTTGAAGTGTTGAAACCCAAGGCTTAGGGTGTAGTCATCAGCAGTTGAGCCATTACCTCTACAATTATATTACACTATTAAACGAAGTATGAAAAGTCAATAATAAAATAGCTGAATGGTGTATAACTATTTTTCCATTTCTAAAAATACATCTTCAAACATAATTAATCCTTTATACTTTATTTTGTTAATTATTCTCGTCCTAGGTGCGTGTTACGAATTGAGAATACTGTATAATTTTTGAATCCTTACTCTGACTTGTTCTGGCCATCCTCTGACTTGCTGCATATCTTCTCGCGGTCCATACTTCTCTGCTTCAGAGTCCAACATTTCGAATGTGGATTCCATTTCTGACAGCCAAGCCAAGAACCTGTCTAGCGCTTTATCCAGCTGTTGCAGCGAATTGAGGGCGTTCTGTAAGGCTTTGCTTCTTGCTTGAAGACTGAAATATATGACGTTTGTAATTTGATTATTTAGAAAAAAAAATACGACAACAAAAATTATCGTTATTTGAAAACTAGCAAAGTACTTTAGTATTTCATGATGACGAGGAAAAAATAAACCTAGCTTAGCGTTTATTCTACTAAGTGTATCGTTAGTAGATTTTGCTTTCTAATTGCTATATAACGTTATATATAGAAAGGTATCATTGTTGCAGGCAGCTAACGAATACTATGCTGTCCTATAGCAGGACCAGAAAAATCCTAACTAAGTAATGTACTCAATTAACCTTAGTTGTTACTCTCTATGTCAGGAGTCGATCAAGGGTGTTATCTTTTGTCTCAGGAGGGAGTTGTATTGGTAGCTAACGCCAGTTTAAAGTATAAGCTTATTTTATGACTGTCATATAGGATAGAAATACAACCGTATTTCTGGAATTCTACGCGTGATCGACAAGATATAGGAAGAATGTTAATTGTGATGGCGATGATGGTGTTATCGAGGAGTGTTGTTTTGTTGCTAGCATAATCTGTCTTGTAATTTATTCGTCTGAAGTATTGTCCTGTCGTCGAACCGTGAAATGTATTTTCAGCTATAATTCAGTGTTATACCAGCTAGTATCTAGTTACATTTTCGGTTAAACCGCAGTCAGTATTGTTTGAGTTTACTTATGTTATTTTTTGTCTCCGTATATCTTGATTTATAGTTGTGCTTTTGTGAATAAAGTGTTGGTTTACGCATGGCAGTTAAAAACACGTAAGATAGAAAAAGATTGTAAATAAATTACATTGATTTCGATAACTGGACATGTAGAAGATGATAAGGTTTCATCGACTTTTTTTTAAAAGTTTTATTTTTTGTATCTGACATCGAATCATGTCTCTCCTTTCAACCAGGTACAGATCACTACACGTTAGGTGCTAATTCCTCTTGTTATTACAATGCCCACGTAACTAAGTTCTTTCTTTTCAAAATCCCGGATTATCAAATAATTCAGAAGAGGAAAGCCTATAAGTTGTGGCTTCTTCTTTCAGGCGTTTTATTATGTCGATTATAAACATTAAAAAAAAAATACTCATTTGAAATCGAAGAAGTTAAGCGGTCAAATTATACGTAATTAAAGCCTCAACTTGCTGATTCTCTAATTAGTCGACAAGCAGTTTTACGTTACCATGGTAAACCTCATTTCAAGGAAGGTTTATTATATACCCAAATCAACGGGAACAAATTTAAACCAAGTTGTTAAGGTTTTATTTAGATAACTTCTCTGCTTGACTTTATTAACAACTAGCTGGAGTACCCGTCCCTTGGACGGAAGTTATGTAAATTCATGATTAATGAAAGGTTATCTTAGGACATTATGGATTACCAGATGATATATGATATATTACTGAAAAATAAAGGTAGTTCATTTGCTAGACAATCACGTGCACAAAACAGAGCAATATATTGAAAGTCCAAGCTTTTATAAGGTTATAAAAACATATCATCTGTCAACACTATTTCAGTGTTATATTAAGTCTAATCGAGTTACGAAACAATGACAAATGGTGCTAAGCTTTTATGATGTTAACTTGAAACAGCCAAACCTCAAGTTAAAGTGACAGCAAAATGTACTGCACTTCCGAGTTCTCTTATTTTTAGACTTCTTATTTATCGGCTTGCTTGTAAACAAACTAATATTTACTATAGAGTGATCTTACCCGAAAAATTTTTATTCAGAAACAGTGGTACAGGTTGTTGGCTTCAGAACTTTTGCGCAGAGCTTGGTTTGGTTGGTTTTGAATTTCGAGCAAAGCTACACGAGGGCTTAATTTAGCAGTGAAAGA